GGACACTTTTGCAAGTTGATATTCTCCTATAATATTAGTTGGCTTGGCTACACAAGTTGTCGCTACAACACGAATATTGTTGCTCTTGCCACAAAACTGAGAAGGTGATTAATTTATCCTTTTTTTATTTTATAAAACATAAAGAATCATGGAAAAGAATAATGTTCTTGTCGCCCAGTAATAGCTTCAGAAATAATTGTTAGGAGATAATTTCAAGTTTTCAAATAACGGACCAATTAATTACAAGTAAGAAATTAATTGGTTAGTTCATTTACTTTAGGATAGCACTGATTCTTGTGTACTTCTCTGTTTGTTTGAGAAACTAAAATGTTATGATCATATTTCTTTGCAGTCTTTGTAGATGAATGGTTATGATCTTCAACTACATTCATAGATGCACAAATCAATAAATCCTTAATTATATTAGATTATCTCCTCGTGATTACGTTGAAGTATTCACTCTCCTCCCATGTTTACTTAAAATATTAACCCGTCTTCAAACAGCGTTTTCTAGCTTGTTTAAAGCATAATTTTGTGCAGCAAAAGGCGCGTCTTACCAAATATATATTTGAGTAGTAAATTTGATAACCGTTGGTAAAGAATATGATTCTCATAAAGAAGTCACATACTTCTATTTATAATTAGAAAATCAAGTGAATGTAATATTTAAAGAAGTGGAACAAAGATTTCGGTTATTGTCAGCGCTACCTTGAGAATATGTATGTACTCGATAGAGAAACGAAATCAATGCATAAATTCTACATGAAAATTGAGTCCCATTCTGCATTATTTTCGGATGATGCTGTTGTACATAAAAGTGACAGTTTTTACGGTTATTGATGACTTAAATTTAATAGCCTCCCAACTACACAATCATCAATTTTATAAACAACATGCTCTGTTCTGAAAATACAAGAAAGTTATGCCCAGTATAACATTTGAGGTGAAACTGTGAAAGTACCGTAGCTAGACAACGAATGAAAGTTTTATTTTATTTTTCAAACATAATCAAGAGATGAGAATTTGACAGACAGCAGATCATCACAAATAGCGCATGATCGTGATAACTAACTCTAAAAATAGTGCTTATCTAAAGTACATAAGAAACCCTAGTAAATCTAGTGACCGTTATGTGCAAGTTGAGAAGATACCGCTATGTGGTCCGCTCCGAGCGTCACATGGGCATGCAAGTTCAAGTCGCAGAACAAGACACATTGCCAGCTGAAACCTCATCTTGTACGGACTGAAAATGGTTGGATGCTATCAATTCCCCTCTCGATAAGGCACGGTGAGTACATTGAGGACGGGTCTTCGACTCACCACCGGTGACCACACACCCATGCAACGCATGGATTTACTATAATCACGTACTAAGAGACCGGACAGAGTGGTGACCACATCCAGTAGTACATACAAAAAGAGGAGGACAAGCTGATTTGTAAGGGGACAAGGGAAGGGAAAAGGTGGCCTTTTGAAGGAGGAGGGTGGCCACTCGTTGGGCTATTGGGCATTATCTCCAGGACTAACACTGGGCCCCCATTTTGTGGTACAAAATATACAGCAGGATATTCTTTAGAAGCAAACCATTCATCAGGTCATGTGGAAGGTGTCATGATCTTTCGTTCCTCTTAAAACATCCACTTGGGTAATGTAGTTTTCTATGTAAATATTACATGATGCTATAAGCTTGAGTTTCCCTATTTTACTACTATTGCAGATGACATTGCTCTTGTATCACATATCACATGTCGCAGATCTCTAGTAGCTACTAGGGGTGTGCAACGATCGGTTCGGTTCGGCTTTTACCAAAATTTGAACAACCGAACCGAACTGTTGCAAGTTGGTTCGGTTCGGTTTGTTCGGTTCTAACTTCATCAAACTTTTTATCAAACAACAAACCGTGTTAAAGAAAAAAATATCAACAAAGTAGAAGATTATGAAGCATTAAACACTGATATAATTATGCTGTTTTCAACCCATAATGATCCAGAAAATGAGTTTAGAGTTTGAGTATGTGACTCTTTGGGGACGAGTTGGGTTTGAGATCAGAATGGATAGTATTGCACTATATTCGGTCGGTTCGGATCGGTTCGGGTTGAAAAGTTTTCAAACCGATCTGAATCGCCCTACTTATAAAACTGATTTTTTCGGATCGGTTCGGTCGGTTTTTTCGGTTTGGACTGAACCATGCTCAGCCCTAGTAGCTACTGTCTATATTTCCTAGAGCGTGTAACACCCTTTGTGTTCAAAAGAATTACATATTTCATCATGTGTTTGATGTTATCTGTTCATAGGGTTAAAATGATGAAATTCATAAAGTAGAGAGACAACGTAAACCAAGATCAAAGAGAAGTGAAAAATGAATTTAAGAAAAAAAGGGAAAACAAGTTACTTCAAAGGATAGGTTTATGCAACGGGTTACACGAGAGGATATTCTTTAACCTCTTGAAAAGTGAAACTGCAGCAATAAAATATAACTTCACTTGGATTGTGTAATTTGTACGCCACTTGTTGTACATATTAGAGAACAGTTTAATCCAATAAGTTGTATAAAATAAGTTAAACGGTATTTAATTCATGAAAATACTATAATCAATTCCAGTAGGAGGGATCATCCGCTATAAGACACAAGTGTATACATGCAAGAGCTGAGACCATGCATGTCACATAGAAGTAAATACTATTTACATATTACATGTTTCTTTTCTTTTGCTTTTACTGACTTTAAGTAGATTCGGTAAACACAAACAAAACAATTAGCCAAAGGGTAGGGAGACATGCAACGTATAAAAGGTTCTTAATATTTGGAGACATGTAATGTATAAAAGGTTCTTAATATTTTACCTCATCCAACCATATGTTCAGGCCTCGACCAAAATGATGTCAGATTCGTTAGTGAGTAGTAACGAGGCTAGTTCAGTACCTAGACACACAAAATATTTTCTTCAAGAAGCTCATAATCATCAAAGGACTGGAACTTAAATAAGACTTCCCATGCATGTTTTCTAATTTTTTAGCAGATTGAATCACAAAAAACTGTGTTATTCAAACTGAGAAATAACTTGAAGCACCAAAATTTCTGATTATGATAGTAAGGTTAAACTACAAGGAGGGCACAAGAACCAGAATTTTGATAGACTGATCAGTAAGTAGCTTCCTTTTCCTGTAAAATTTCAGTTATACTCGAGGCATCAGCCTTCTTAGAATTACTTACTCTTGAGATCTCCATTGTAGTCATCGATCAGTCTTTCTACATCTTTCCAGAACAGGCCTTCCACAAGCATCCCATCATTGGCAAACCTGAATGAAAAATTGATGGATGAGTAAAGATAACGGTTGAGTGAAATTTTGTTCTAGCTGGAAGAAGAGCCCAGAAAAATCATATATCAGGATATAATATAAAACCAGCGCCTACTTCATGTAACCACAGCAAGTGCAATGTAAATCAGTGCAGAAATTCACATAACATTTGCATGTCCAACACAAGACAAAGTGCACATATTCATATAACTCATATCACTTTCCATTTCTCCTACTGCTGGGAAGCAGAGTTTGGAGTGATCTTAAAATGATTATTGGAACCTTTCCTGGGTCTAAAGGACAGAGCATGATACCTGTCACAACAAAACCTCGAGCCTCATTTATATGAAGCTATACGCCTGTATACCTAATATAAATAGTCTATTTATATTATAAGCACAGTTTATTCATCATAATCATGTTTCTCATCGCCATTCCCCTTCCATCATGAAAGGATTACTGATTGAGTATGAATCCATAAGAAGTAACAACAGATTTAACACCAGCTGTCAACTGGATCTCATCCGCCCAAGGATTGGTGATACTTTCCTAGAAAGGCAGCCATAAAGCCAGAAAGGGACTCACTGTGAGACATCGATAGTTGAAAGGTTTGATACCATATTTTCATATTTAAATGAACTTGTCTGCTACTCTAGAGTACCATTCTGGAAATAAATCTAGACTATGCCTTATCCTGGAAATCACCATCTACTTTTGGATAAAAAAAAAAGAAAAAGGAAAAAAGAAAACTTTGAACTTTTCACATTGGACCCCCTACATGTAATTTGCAACAACTATGTTTTCATTGAAAGAAAAAAAAAATCCAAAATTTAGGAGATGGGATATAGTGCCTGTAAATGAAAAATAATAAAGTTTAAAAAATTTTCTCTAAAAGAAATTTAAGTTAATTTCAAATCACATTTCTCTTTTTTTTTGGTGGGTTGGGGGGGGGGGGGGGGGGGGGGGGGGGGGTGAATTGACGGGGGGTTATGTGAGAAACTCCAAAGTTCAGGATGTTATGTGAGATAAACAATGTTGATGAGGGTAATGTAAAACACCCCCCCAAAGTTCAGGGGAGTTATGTGAAATTAACCCTACATTATGTCTCCTAAATCCACCACCCCTCTCAGAATCTGTAAATAGTGGCACCCAATACAGAAGTTAAGAATATTGGAGAGACACAATGCCAAGTCACACTGATGACTCCCAAATGCATCATCCCTCACATAATCTTTGTGAATAATGGTACCAATATAGAAGCTACAGACTAATGGAGAGAAGAATGTCAATTTTAAAAGAATTAGAAATTCAATAGTAAGAACAAATGTTGAATAACAAAATATTGCAAATAAATGCTGTTAACCACCTTAGTGCAGAGAAAATTGTTGATAACTAAACATAACAGTCACTGCTACAAAATGCCACCTAAGATGGGAGCTTAAGCAGTTGCTTAAAGACCTTCGGCCTTTGGTGGCTTTAAGAACACTGATAGCAATATTATGGAAATGTGGAACTCAATGAACTAAAAGTGAGGTATCATTTGTAGAAATGAACATTTTGCGGGGCTGTTTTTCCTGTCAACATTAAATTGTCCTAATAGAAAGTAGGAACACTGAGATATTATGTGAGGTGGACTATGCCCTTCTTCAAAGCCTAAATTTCAGATATGACTAAAAAATTTCAAAGAATAACTAAAGGAGACATCAGTCTGATAAAAAATGACCTTTAATCATGCCGTTACTCTATCAGTTCATGGAGTTATTTTATCATGCACGGTATCCATCTAATAGGGATAAATAGCAGCTTATGATAAACTTAGATCTTTTTTAATGTGTGCACCTGATGCTATGGGATTTGATAACAAACATAATAAACTACAAAGTGTCATCTTTCAATAAAACTCGCATTATTTTATTTTTGTATTTTCATCTCAGATGTTGCTAAAACAAAACCACCTTCTTCATCTCCTAAATGTTTCAAAACGTTAGAAGTAATGTATTGAGAAATGGTGGCATTCTTTGTTGACCTTTACTTAAAACAAAAATAAATGAATTTAAGAACTACCCATTTTGTTACGCTCTTCGTAAATTGTACTGATTTGTTAACCGAAATGGACTTTGGATCTGCACTTGCTACAGTAAGAGTGTACATGTCGGAAAACCTTGGCAACTTAGATGATACAATCAACCCTGTAGTGCTGAAAGATCCCTGTATGTGACAAAATAGAATCAAATTTCAGAACTACACCATTCAAATAAGAATATATGCTGAAAGATCCCTGTATGTGACAAAATAGAATCAAATTTCAGAACTACACCATTCAAATAAGAATATATCAGGATAACGTTGACAAAATACTTCAAATTTCAGAACTACACCATTCAAATAAGAATATATCAGGATAACGTTGACAAAATACTAATTAATAGAAGAAGTTTTCCAACCTTACCCGATATCTTTCAAGGTAACTTTCGGTTCTTGATCACTGACTATACTCATCATAAGGTCATAACTATATGCATATAAATATTATATAAAGATTAAAAAATAATCTAAACCGTGTTCTTCTGTTTCTACCATCACCAGCTAGAGCTGTGCAAGATAATAATGGTACCAGAGAATTACATGATTTCATGATCTCGGGGACAACTGTCTACATTGGAATGTACTGCAATTTTTTTTTACATCCTTTGGAGGCTTCAGACATCATGCTTAAGCTCTATGGTTGGACATGAGTATTGTTCCCGGTCTTTAAATAGGTATAAGATAGCATCAAATTTTCATTTTCTATATATACACCTGATTCTAATCCAACATAGATCTAAAATCAGAACACTGGATTTTGTAGGTGAATTTCAAAATCCAAAACTTAAAAAAAACATTAATTAAAAATTGAATTAAATCCTAAAATATATTCATTGACCAATCACTATGCAAAGGGTAATTTTTCATTAAACATGTCTTAGAGCTTAAAAAATGAGTTCCAATTTGTTACGAGTATAGTTCGATAGAATTATGTTTCAGGTTCAGACTAGAGACAAAGACATTGATTATATTGGACTTGTGTAAATTGCTAGAACACAAAACATGGAAACGAAATTTACGGTATACACACTACAAGGTGCCTTTCAAAGTACATGTTATGGTCCATTTAGACCTGTATTAACTAAATGGAAGTCAACTGTATTAACTAAATGGAAGTCAACTAGTTTAAATGATGAGTTATCCTCAAGCCCATCTTTCTAGTTGCCAGAGAGCAGAGTGGGAGTGACATATAGTCTAGAGTCCAAAGCCAAAGGGTGAGTACGAGATTGCAGTCTTCCATCAAGACTAGACTAGTGTAGGACAGCTTGTGCAGGATTCAAGATTGCATAAACAAGGGTGTACAAAATGGGATACATATAGTCCCGCGTAGACAAAATGGGATCAATTGCAGGTTTATAAAGATTTGGCTTCCGTCCCTCTACGAGCTAGCTTTTAGGAGGGTTCTCCTGGGTCTCCGTATAAAGTTTAGTACAAAAGGCAATTACATGTTCTTAATCATCAAGCCATGGAAAAACATAAAACTATCTTGGAAACAATTAAAGAAATTGACAGCAAAGGAAGTTTGAAGACACGAACCGGAGGATAAGTAAACATAATCGCGTTCTTCTCCTTCGTATAGCTGATGAACTGCAACACTCCATTGAAAACTACATACTTGGCAATGTCAAAGAAAAAAAACGCAATTCTTTTTGCAGAGAAATCAATTCAAAAACCCTAATGCCATCAAATCACAACGAAACCAGTGAAGAAGGATATAATCCAATGCAAACGATTAAAATATCCCTATTGTCGGGGAATTTCTCGGGATAAAATTGAGCAAGAAGAGCAATTCCAATGGCAACAGCTCCAATCAACGACTTCGCATTGCTCAGCCTCACATCTTCGACGTATCCTCGACTCTTCACGATCTGAAACAAATGAAAACGAGAGATCCAGCTTAAACCCTAGAAAACCCTAGAAATTGACGGATCGTGGAAAACTGAAGAGAGAGAGATATTCGTACCTCGGTGACGGATTCATCGAGGAGGTGCTTGATCGAATGTTGATCTAAGAGATTTGCTTTCTTAGGGCTTCTGATCGACCTCGCCATTTTCTGTTGATCCTTTTTTTATTATTAATTTTTGCGATTTAATTTGGGGTTTATGCTCGTGCCTTCTTCAATGTCCGAAGCATGCAAACTGCTAGGGGCGTTTCTCAATGGATCGGGTCGGGTTGTACGTTAGATCCAATATTAAATTGGTCAAGGTAAGCTAGACTAGACGTTGTAGTTAATTGCAGATAGATCCCTGTAGTATTGCCTAAATTACGGATAAACGAGTCAAAAAAGTTCCATTTAGGCAGATAGGCCCAGGCAATTCAATTGGCTTAGATAGACCCCCAGTTGCTATTTTTCTACCCGCATAAATAGAAAAAAGTTTTTAAAAAAAATATAAAGTTCGCTCAGGTGGTCTATCTGCACTTGGGCAAATAGTACAGGAGGTCTATCTGCATAAATAGAACTACAGAAGGGATATCCGCAACTGGGCGATACTAAAAGGGTCTCTACCATTTTTTAACTTTGAGGATACTATAGAGTTTGCGATATGATGCCCCAAAGGTGTAGAAACATTGATCTTGACTTTGTTCAACAATATCATCATAAAATAGTAAATGAGAAACTATTTTCTTATCGGATTTCACATTTTAGGGGAAAAAGAGGAATAAAGTTCCGCTCTGAGGTAACAAATTGTCAAAATAGAACTTCATTGTATTAAAGTTGAAAAAGAATGAAATTTTGGAATACTAAAATGCAAATAAGGCTTAATTAAATGGAGAGTTAACTAGAAAAAAAATATAGATTTGAGAATTTCATACTTCTCTCAATCTCAGAAAAGAATCTAAAATCCTACGAAATCATCAATAAGGACTGAATTTAGAAGTTAGAACACTCATCAGTCGAGGAATGATCTGCCTTCGACTACCAGCTGTACCTTAGGATCTTACACTGCGTCAGGTACTGGTATTGTTACTTTCATATAAATGTCAGTAAACGTACAACATTGTTGATTTAGGACTCAAGAATCATCTAAACTGGCATAATATTATTGAGAAATGCGTGCAGGTCGAGATACAAAGCTACCAATTTTGTACTGCCATGTACAAAATGGGGGGACAAGAATTATGATGGTAGCTCTAAATGATATATCCACCTAAAAATTCTTCATGTTGCTTGTGCGCTGAATGCAGGCGTCAATGTCCTGAATTGAGAAAAGCAGGCAGGAATTTAATTTCTCGGTCAAGTCCATTCATCTGATTCCTGTAAAAGACGCAAGGAGAATGATACATTAGTCGAGTTCCAGAAGTTGAATTTTTCGCGAAAGAAAATAGAGGTTACTAGGAAACATTGTATAGATAATGTATTAGATGCTGATCACAATGTTATGAACAATGTTAATAGTTTTTGAGCTAGAGTGTTGCACGATCATGACCTTGATCTTCATTGATTTTCATCTCATTTTCCCCTAATATAACAACACCAAATCAGCTTTTGGCACTACAGATCTCAAATTTCATCCCAATTGTGTTGTGATTAGTCAATATCAATTTGTATTAGTCGTTAATAGCTCGTATCAGCAATATCAGTCAAGTTTCAGTTGGATCAGCCAAAACATATAGAAGTTACAGGATGGACTACCTTACACCTAACATGGGGGTAGGCACTACACATTTCAACAACAAGACTTCTATCTGAACTTGTATATAGTAATATATTTTTAATAAATTATAATTGTTCTGCACAAATCTGCTTTACTTAGTGGCATTGCTGGCAAAATGAGAAACCAGTTAATCTGTCATCATATTTTTGACACAAATCTTGGAAAGAGAACACCAAAATTTAACATCTCCAAGTTAACTAGGACAGATAGCTGATTATCTAAAACCTTCTGAATGAAGCAACATTTGGAATAAACCATTTATATAGGCTTCACACGAGTACATTAATCAAAATTGTCACGGTATCAAACTTCAATATTGAGATGTTAACCAATGAAGATATGTTTCAGATATGCTATGTTCTTAGGAAATTAATAAGTAGATCCATGGAATAAGCAAAGAGGACAAACACAGACTAATAGTCTTCCAAACCATCCAGACTATATCTTCGAACCCAACAAAGCAAGATGAGGCATTTTCATCCAACCCAACAATGCAAGATGCTTTGAAACTTAGCGATATTAATGTAGCTCTAGGTGTGAAAAATGAAGACTTGCCCAATCTTGCTGGCAGCATGGTTTCTTGCACTTGAGTGGGTGAGTACTACTATTGTCCATTACAAGGATACAGGGTATCAGTATTTTACAGTTGGTAATGAGGCGATTCCTGGGGTGAACTCTAAATACATTACTCCTGCTATGGAAAAATCTCTTAGAGGTACTTAACACCTTCAAACTATGTGATATAAGGGCGAAACTGCAGTTTCAACCCATGTGCTTGGCTCATGCTTCCCCCCATCTGCAGGGTCATTCTCAGATAAAGCCACTAGTGACATGACCGGATATCATATCGCTCCTAGCCAATTTGGGGCCTAAGAACCCACAACACGTACTCATGGTTAATGTGTATCCTTATTTTGCATATGTGGCTGACCCAGATAACATTTCATGAGATTATGCGCAATTTTCCACCACGGGTCCGGTCTCTAATGATGGAAACTTAAGAGTATCGGAATCTATTTGATGCTATGGTGGATGCTTTCTATATGGCTATGGAGAAGGTTGGAGGGGCTAATTCTGGAATATCAATATCCGAGACTGGTTGGCCTTCAGATGGTAATGGAAACTCTACGACACCTGTTCTTGCTCAACAGTACAATTTAAAATTTATTAACCAAGTCAAAAAGTTTGGAACCCCGAAGAGGCCTAATGATTTGATGGACTAGTTCTTGTTTGCAATGTTTAACGAGGATGAAAAAATGCCTGGAATTGAACAGAATTTTGGCTTGTTCTATCCAAATGGCCAGTCTCTTTACCCTTTATTTTAGAGTACTCCTTTATGTTTTCCTAATGGACCAGTGAGTCTTATAAAAAAACATATTTTCTTTTACTACAATAAAATATCATATTTGTCATTGGACATAATATTCTATCATATTTATTATTGAGAATATGAATCTATATAACAAGTCAGATACCAGCAATCAGCCATATACTTTTAAAATTTAAACATATTCTACACCAATAAATCAAGAGACAGTAGATAATATGGTTCTCAGCTTGTATTTTTGTTTTATTGTTAGCTAATGCCAAACTCTTATGAATGCCATATAAAAAAAAATTCTATCTTTGCATATGAAAAAAGTTCTATCTTTTAGTGATGAGTCACTGTTAATAGATATGGGAAATAAGTTGAGCTCTATTGCATGAAAAAGAAAGCTACTCATGGGAAGCATATCAGAATCTTGACAAAATGACTTGTATATATATAATAAAACAGAAGTACAAGAGTTACCTTAATTCTAGACTGTAGCCTAACATCCTTCCCAGTAAAGGTCTCCCTGATGGCCTGATACTAATGATGGCATCAATAATTCATGCATTTACTCTGTGCGTTATCAAAACCATAAAGTGCAAGGTTAAACTCCGTGAAAATTTTTACTATGAAATGTCACAGTATTTGGCTGCAAATTTCTACTATGTGCAAGTATTACGCTAAATTGAACAATTGAATTGAAAAAAATTGTAACCACTAAATAGTTACCAAACTTTGGTGCTAAGTAAAGAATTTCTTGAGGGACGCAACTTTGCACCCAAGAAAATGCGCTGCATCTCAAAATTGTGTGAGTGTTGTGAACGTGGGGGCAAAGCGCGTTATGTGGGGGCCACCACGTTCATGAAGCAGTTTACCAGGAGACATGTTTTCAAAGGTGAGTGGGAGCCGATGTGAGTAGGGGCCACATCTTGATGTGATCTCTTTCCGCGTGTGACAACAGAGGCCCACCCGAATGTCATTTGCAGCTATATATAAATACCTCGTTCTTCCTAGGGTTTAGAGTGCGAGGCAGCGGAGGAGAACGTAGGTGTTGGGCGGCGTGCAAGCAAAAAAAACGCACAAATTATTCTTTGGGCTGCGTGCAACAGGGGTAAAACAGCAGAGGCTTGGCGGCTGTCCTTTTGTGAGAGTTTTGAGAGATTGTTTGAGGGTTTAATTTATGAGACCTTGTATGATTGTAAACCCTATTTGTATTCTCTCTCTAATAGTAGATCCCCCCTCATTGTCCCATGGACGTAGACAATTTGCCGAACCACGTAAAATTCGTTGTCTTGTTGTGATTTGTAATAGCTTGTTTAGGTTCCTTCGACAAGTCAGTCCTATAACTGATGAGAGGAAGAGTGTATATCCTACTTTGTTAATATATATCACTTTCGGTTCTTATTTTCTTTGTGAAATAGGAATTTAGTTAAGATCTACTCTCTTGTTGTGCATCAGAGGTGCTGTCGAAATTTTCGCTGCGCACAACAAGTGGTATCAGAGCTTCGGGTTCGACTTGAGGTTCGTTTTGGAGGATTCACTGTAGGATTCTCGTTTGAAGAGTTAGATCAACAACATGTGAGAAACAAGCACATTGGGATCGTATCTTACGAAGACAATACAGAATCTGAGCATCAATAATACAAAGATTGATGTTCCGAAGTTCGACAGCAAAATCAATTTTGATTTGTGGAGATGCCATGTGATGGATGCGTTGGACGCACAAAATTTGAAGGAGACTCTTGGGTTACAAGAGAAACATGATTATATGGAGGACAAAGTTTGGAAGAAGTTGAACAATATGGCTTGTGGAGTTATTCAGTCATGCTTGACGTCGAATCTTATTTATGATGTGATGAACGCGACGTCGGTGAAGAAATTGTGGGAAACACTCAATGAGAAGTACCTTACTAAGAGTATTAAGAATCAACTTCACTTGAAGAAGAGGTTTTTTACCAGTTCAAGATGAAGAGGGGAGTTTTCATTAGGGAGCATGTTAACAATAACAACTTCACAAAGTTATTTTCAGATATGGCTAATGTGGATATCATGGTTGAGGATGAAGACAAGGCGATGCTACTTTTGTGTTTATTGTTCGAGGATGATTATGGTACTTTTGTTCTCACTAATGATTAATGGAAGAACAACTGTTAATTACAAGGAGATGACATCAGCGTTAGTGAATTATAAGTTGAGGAAGAGTGTTAACAAACCCTCCGAGAAGACATCGGGAGATACATTAGCAGTTCAAGACTGTGATCCAAACCGTAGTAGGAGGTCGCAGTCTAGAGGTGCACACTTTACAGTTCGTAAAAATCAATGTCTTTTGTAAAGAGGATGGAGATTGAAAAGCCGAATGTTCAAAGTTAAATCGAGCCGGGAAGAATAAGGAGAAAGTCATATAAGCTTCAGATGTGAATGTGTCAAGTCTAGTGGTAACAATTCAGATTCGGATTCACTATCGTTAGTTTGTATTGTCAACTTTACAGAGTGGATGTTGGATTCGGATGCTTCTTATCATATTTATCCTAGGAGGAATTGGCTCTCCATCTTTCAGGAGTTGGAAAAAGAAGATGTCGTGTTCATGGGTAATGGACATGCATGCTCTATTGATGGTATTGGTACCACTCGTATTCGGAAGAATGACGGGGTGATTCGGGAGTTGGATGAAGTGAGGTTCGTTTCTCAGTTATAGAAGAATATCATTTCAATTAGAACTTTGGAGGTAACAGACTATAAGGTGACCTTGATGGATGCACATTTAAAGGTTACATTTGGGTCCATGATTATGATGAAGGGCGTAAGAAAGAGCAATTTGTATTATTTACTTGGAAGCACGGTGATTGATAGAGAGCTGACGACTTCATTGGATTTGGCTAGACTGTGACGTTTGTTGAGGCTAGGATATTTGGTTACATGTACCGTGCATTATTTATTGAGGAGTGCTTTGATCTGCAGTTTGAAGTCCTATAAACACATTAGTATGAGCGAGAAACCCGAGATGGAGTTTGACACTTCTATCCATCGATCGATGGGTCTTCTAAGGGGTGTTCATTCAGGCATTTGGGGACCTTTCAAGGGGGCATCAGTAGAAGGTAATAGGTATGTAGTTTTCTATGTTGGTGACTGTTCTAGATATTAGTGGGTTACAACCAAGTCTCGTTGGTGTGAAGTCCTAGAAGTCAGCAACAGTTAGAGAAAGTATGTTGGTAGAAAGATAATCCATCATTATGTTTTAGGTAGGAGTTCTTTTCTGCGTTTGTGTCGAGCTCGCGGTAGTTGGAGACACTTCATTGGAGAGAAAACAATAGGGTGACGAGATGAGATGACAGATTTGGTAAGCATTTCTTTCTAGAGGAGGATCGGCGTTTGATGTCGAGCATTGGTTATGGTGATCGGGCTTCGATATGTTTGGGCATATCTTATGCATAGGTTGCTGACTGTTGCGTTTAGAGATTTTAGATCTGGTGAAGCTGCTTCAGATTTTGGGTTGCTTCGGATATTAGGTTGCGTAGTATTTGATCACATCAAGGATGTAAGATTTAATCTGATTGCATGTTTGGGATTCAGAGGCTCGTTTGGTTATCAGTTGAGAGACTCTGGTTTTATTCTGAGCAGGTATGTTATTTTTGACTCTCAGAAGATAGAGAGTGTTGATCAGATAGTTAGGATATCGCAACAGGTGGAGTGTGATGTCACTTCACGTTGGGTGGAGATTTCTTCACGTTCTCCAGATCATACTGCATCGCTTGAGATTCCAGGTGAGGTGACACAGATTGAAAATCATGTTGGTTTGGATGCAGATGATGAGTTGGTTAATTTGAGTGCAGTTGATGGACATAGTTCAGATTTGGTTATGACCGTTGGTTCACCTCAGGAGGAGGTGTTTTGTTTGTTTCGCTTTGGGGCTATTAGGAGAGCTATCAGTCACAGATTTGTTGGTGATGTTAGAGAAAGGTTTCGAACTCTTCTAGTTGATTGAGGCCATTCGCGGCTATTTGGGTGAACTACGTGAATGCTTGATTCCCTTAGCAAAAGGATACGTAGGCAGTCATTTATGATGCAACAGATTTAAAAGTAGATACCGACGTTTGGAGTTTGTTCGCATTCTTATTTAGGTTCTCGACTTGTTATGGATTGAGTCCGTTATCGTGAATTGTTTCACTTCGTACTGGACGCAACAAGTGAGACATTTGGTTTGGTTGGTGTTGACTCGGTTTTGGGAAAACTTCGTCGATGTGGAGAATTGTGAACGTCAAAGGTGAGTGGGAGCCGATGTGAGTGGGGGCCACACCTTGATGTGATCCCTTTACGCGTGTGACAACCGAGGCCTACCCGAATGTCATTTGCAGCTATATATAAATACATCGTTCTTCCTAGGGTTTAGAGTGAGAGGCAGGGGGAGAACGCATGTGATGGACGGTGTGCAAGCAAAAGAAAAAAAACACAGCAGATTATTCTTTGGGCTGCATGCAACAGGGTTAAAACGACAGAGGCTTGGCGACTGTCCTTTTATAAGAGTTTTGAGAGATTGTTTGAGTGTTTAATTTGTGAGACCTTGTATGATTGTAAATCCTATTTGTATTCTCTCTTTCTAATAGTAGATCTCCTCCCTCATTACCCCGTGGACGTAGCCCCGTGGACGTAGGCAACTTACCGAACCACGTAAAATTCGTTGTCTTGTTGTGATTTGTAATAGCTTATTTAGGTTTCCTCGACAAGTCAGTCCTAGAACTGATGAGAGGAAGAGTGTATATCCCACTTTGTTGAGATATATCACTTTCGTTTCTTGTTTCCTTTGTGAAATAGGGATTTAGTTGAGATCTACTCTCTTGTTATGCACTAGAGGTGCTACCGATATTTTCGTTGCGCACAACAAGTGTCAAATACTGACTATCAACAATCTTGTAACCCTTACAGACTAGGATAAGGTTATTATATTATGTGGCTCATAGGCCAATATTGTAATGATTAAAGAGCCTAGAGATCTTGAATGTTGATTCAGTTTGACCAAACAACAAAAACATACAATATATTTTTGGGTAACTTACACTAAATCCCTTTAAAACTTCAGTGTTTTACAGTCAACCAGCAATAACTTTCAAAATCGCATTAAACCCCCAATAACTTTTGAAATTGCTGAAAATCCCCAAATAAGTTTCTGCATTTTGCAGATAACCCCCATAAATTAGATCCAAAAAACAACATAAAAAAGGCATTATGAAAGTTATTGGGGGCTTCGTGTAATTTACCCAGAACTTTTATCAAACCACTTTATAAATACTCTTGGATGCATGATTAAGTGCCTCCATATCTTTATGGGTTTTTTTCTCGATATTGATCCCTAAATTATACTCAATCAAAAAATTGTCGCTAAAATTATAAACAATTTCCCCACAAGTTCTGCAGATCATATAAAATATTTGAAACCTGACCTAAAGTTAATATTTGACATGAAATTTGAAACCTTCTATTAAAAGATCCCAAAGTAACATTCAAGAGTTTATCAGTGGATAACGCGTTATGACCTAATATTGTTGCTGGCCAAGGGTTTAAATTGCCTAAACTTTACCAATGGTAAAGTATTCTACAATCTCATATAACAACAGCAACAAGAACAACAATGCCTTGCCCAAAATTTTGAACTTGCCTTCATGGATCCTATTCTTTCATTCAGTTATCCCGTCCACTAAGTTAATAATTACCCTATCCAACTCTAGCGGACACCATGATGGGGAAAAAAAACTAACTAGGAGTGAAAACATGTAGTCAATAGTCATCAAGTTTTAACTTACGAAAACAAACAAGCAGAGGAATTTGAACAACACCAGAAAACCCACTTGTTTCTTATAGTTAAGTAAGCTAATTGTCTGAAGCATAACAAAGTTTTTTGCAAATTGACTCGTAAAACTGAAGAGACAAGAAGCATAATAACCATACCTCAGTTAATAAAATTGAGTCCCACAATTGCACCAACGTAAAAATTCTCTATATCAAACTTTTTTGGGTCGCCATTTTGCAATGACTCGCTTGTCTTGCATCTCCTTGAGAACCTGTGATGAATGGTGAGATTTCTTAGTGAGGTGTTCTTTGAGACAATTCATCAAATATGTGATGTGCAGAGTTAGGGCCTGTTTGGTTCAATAGAGGATAGGAATAGGATTAGGAATCCTATTTTATTTATGGATTCCAACCTAATCCATAAAATTTTTATAGATAAGTTATAGTTTTATGGAATCCTATTTTTTTGGCATTCTATGTTTGTTTCACCTTGTGGATTAGGAATCCAACTTTTATAGAAATGGTCCAATTCCTAATACCATGTTTGCTTCAAAAAAAATCTCTTTTTTGGGAGTAGACACTGTAGCAACAGTTAGTCTTTGTATCAATTCAAAAATCCCTGTAGCAACGGCTAGAAGAGGCCATAAATACCCTTTTTTTGCTGGAATCACTGTAGCAACGGATCAATTTCAGCTTAAAAATCCAGATTTGAAAAAATATGACAGAACACTGTAGCAACGGCTAGAAGAGGGCCATGGTGGCTATAAATTCACCTTGAGGGCTCACAACTAATCCAAGCACTCTCATTTTCAGCATTTATAAAATTCCCATTGTCTTCAATTTGCCAACCCGACATGAAAATGATATCAGAAGAGTGCTGGCAGGATTATGAAGTTTATTGTGACTGCCATCTCAGAACACCGATGAAAGTGTGCAAGAATGGCAAAAATAAGGGTAGGTGTTATTGGGGGTGTGCAAAATTCCCAAATAAAGAATGTAATTTTTTCGAATGGGCTGAAGAAAGAGGAGAGTCATCAAGCAACCAAGAAAGCCAATATGTCCAAGAAAATAGGTACGGAGAAAAATATATTTTGCAATCAAAGAAGCTGAAGAAAGAATTGAGACTTGTCGAAAATCAACTACTAGTTTGGAAAATTTCTGCAATTTTCTTAGGAATTTTTAGTGTTATTTTAATTATTACAAACTTCATGTCATGTAACTGTACTTGCAAGAACTACTGAGGATGTAAAGAAAACTGTTGTTTGAACTGGGTACAAATTCTAATTGATATTGTATGGCTCAGAAATATATCAACTTGTCATCATTGATTGCCCCACCTATAACTTAAACATGTTTATTACAGATTGCATTATAAGGATGAATTGCCTCGCCTAGACATTGCCAATTCAATGTAGGCTGCAATCTCATCTCAAATATTGCCTCATCTGGATATAATAAACGAGGTAAGTTAGGTTGCATTCTCAGTAAACGTTGATCATCATCATTGCCACATATCAAGTGCAAGGAAAACCACAGGCAAGGCAAACCATAACAGCAAGTAACCCACAGGCAATTAAAACCAAAACAAGCAACAAAAGCTCAAACAAAACAGCACCAACCAGCAAGTAACCCACAACCCCAGCATCAGCCTGAAAAACAAAATGCTCAAAACAAGCACAAACCAACCAGCAGCAGCAGCAAACATGCACAAAGCTCAGAACAGGCACAAACCAGCAACCAGCAGCAGCATGAGCTGCACAAAGCAAGGAATAGGCACAAACCAGCAACCAGCAGCGCATGAGCTGCACAAAGCAACAAACCAGCAACAAACCAACCAGCAGCAGCAGCATGAGCTGCACAAATACCACTTCAGGCACAAACCAACCAGCAGCAGCAGCATGAGCTGCAAAAGGCAACAAACCAGCAACAAACCAACAGCAGCAGCAGCATGAGCTGCACAAATACCACTTCAGGCACAAACCAACCAGCAGCAGCAGCATGAGCTGCAAAAGGCAACAAACCAACCAAAACCAACCAGCAGCAGAAAAAGCTCAAAACAGGCAACCAGCAACCAGCAGCAGCTGCATGAGCTGCAAAAGGCAACAAACCAGCAACAAACCAACCAAAACCAACCAGCAGCAGAAAAAGCTCAAAACAGGCAACCAGCAACCAGCAGCAGCTGCATGAGCTGCAAAGGGAAACAAACCAGCAACAAACCAACCACCAGCAGCAGCAACCCACAACCCCAGCATCAGCCTGAAAAACAAAATGCTCAAAACAAGCACAAACCAACCAGCAGCAGCAGCAAACATGCACAAAGCTCAGAACAGGCACAAACCAACAACCAGCAGCAGCATGAGCTGCACAAAGCAAGGAATAGGCACAAACCAGCAACCAGCAGCGCATGAGCTGCACAAAGCAACAAACCAGCAACAAACCAACCAGCAGCAGCAGCTCAAAACAGGCACATAGCAACCAGCAGCAGCAACATGAGCTGCAAAAGGCAATAAACCAGCAACAAACCAACCAAAACCAACCAGCAGCAGAAAAAGCTCAAAACAGGCAACCAGCAACCAGCAGCAGCTGCATGAGCTGCAAAAGGCAACAAACCAGCAACAAACCAACCAAAACCAACCAGCTCATGCTGCAGAAAAAGCTCAAAACAGGCAACCAGCAACCAGCAGCAGCTGCATGAGCTGCAAAGGGAAACAAACCAGCAACAAACCAACCACCAGCAGCAGCAGCATGAGCTGCGCAAACCAACCAGCACCAGCAGCAGCATGAGCTGCTTAAAACAGGCACAAACCAACCAGCAGCAGCAGCAGCATGAGCTGCTTAAAACAGGCAACAAACCAACCAGCAGCAATATGAGCTGCACAAAGCTCAAATCAAAATATACCTGCAACAAAGATTGCAAATATAGCAATTCATCAATCCCACAACGACATAGCTGTTCTTCATAATGAAAATACATATTGCAACATTAATAGTTTGCAATTAACACAACAATATCCATCAAAATATAATCGAAACCCAACAAACTAGCTATCCGGCCAACCTTGGTCGCTAACTAATTTTGTGATGTACCTCTGTTGACCTTCCTTGGATTTTATGAAAAACCTCCTAGCTTCACGTTCATTGTCATATAAATGGTCTAAAACCCTATCGAGGAACTCCTCGGAATATTCAGACCTATGTTCCTTCAACGCTGCAGCCAACTGCTCAGTCCAATGTATAACGTGTTGATTTCTCATTGACTGAGACATGGACTCAACAAAGGCACACATCATTTCCTCTTCACGATTAAATTTTCTGGTTTTTTTGCTAGATGATGAAGTCGTGTTGTCTTTACTCTTAGTCTTATATCTAGTGGGTTGTGGTTGGTTAACAGCACCAGAACGTGGTTGGTTGCAAGCATCAGACTGTGGTTCAGCTTCACTCTCCTCTAGAATCTCGCAATCATCATCGGGAATAGGTATGGACCTACTAGACCCAATGTTAGCGTACACGGGCCTAACAAAATCACCCTTGGCTTGATCATCACCCATGATAACTTGTAAATTTTTGAAGTGAGGAAGGGGTTTGTTTATGTACGCTTTGTACTTAGAATTGGATTTGTCCTGCAATAATAAATACTTATAAATCCAGAGAATCAAATGTATTTAATTGAATGTGATAAGATAGATGCTGAATTGTTATACCTGGGCCCAAGATTTCAAGGTTTCCTCATCCAATGTAATCATTTTACTTGTTTCATCCCACCCAGCACCACTTATATCAAGGCAAGCTTTCATGTCATTGAATTTGTTCCGCAAACATTTCAAGTGGTTAATGACATGCAGGTGAGTGAAATCAGTCCTGAATTGCATGTTGATTTTCATGGCAGCCATTTTATAAGCTTCAGCCTTGAAGTTCTTGTCTGGCTTCATGCCATCCAATGCTAAATCTGCAAGATAAGGAATAAGCACATCATCGTGCTCTGGAAGCCAAAACTTATTAGCCACGCCTCTTGAGTTCAACCTGGCACACGGAACCTTATTTTTATGGGCTAATCTTTTCCCTCTTTTCAATGGCGAAGTGTGCTCCGCACCATCAACGTCATGAATATCCTTTCCAACTGAATCACCGGTGTTTGGTGAAAATTGATTAGGTCCACTACTTTGAGAACTGGCTGTGGGAAACATCAAACCTTGTGGACTGCCTAACATGCTCATGTATGACATTGGCGGCTGTGTCATCCCACCATAATTACCATCCCATGGTGGGAATGGTGAGAAAGTATGCGGAGGTGAGGTGAATGGCTGTGGTCGAACAGGCATGTAGTTCATGTTAATCCCTGATGTAGGACTTGGCATTGCATTCGAATGAGAAGGCACGCTTTGCTTATCTGCCGGATTGTTAGCCATACCTAATATATTTTGTAAGCATAGCCATATTAACAATAAAGAAATTTATAGAATATGGGATATGTATGCATTTAGCAGGGAATATAGTAAACGATGTAATTTCTAGTTCAAACAACATAACAAAATAGCAAGTGATAAAAGTAGTAATGGTTTGTTACAAATGGCTTAGAAACAATAAAAGATATCGATGCGAACAGTATGTTAAAATTCACCAAGTTATTACATAGCCATAGAACAGATGCTACACTAAGTTAAACCGCTCTCCATTGTGTTACCACCATTGTACTTTGCACAATAATCCACCCACATCGCCCAAGCAATTTGATCTCGTAACTCCTTCCATTCATTTCTAACATCTCGATCCTCTCTTTGTGACCTAAAATAGCAAGTGATAAAAGTAGTAATGGTTTGTTACAAGCAAAGAAACATTAAACAATATCGATGCGAACAGTATTTTAAAATTCACCAAGTTATTACATAGCCATAGGACAAATACTACACTAAGTTAAACCGCTCTCCATTGTGTTACCACCATTGTACTTTGCACAATAATCCACCCACATCGCCCAAGCAATTTGATCTCGTAACTCCTTCCATTCATTTCTAACATCTCGATCCTCTCTTTGTGTCCTACTTTGAGTATAGTCCATCACATTTGATTCGTCCTCATTTGTCTCTTCCCCAGTATCTTCATCAATTTCAACATTTTCATTTAAAATATCATCATCCGGATCCTCCAAGGCAATAAAGTTGTGCAACACAGTACACGCTAGTACAATGTCCACTTGAGTGGGAAATGGATAATTCGGCTTCCCCGCAAGAATTTTAAACCGATTCTTCAGTATCCCAAATGTGCACTCAATTTTTGATCTTAAAGATGAATGCCTTAAATTGAACAACTCCTTCCTATTCTTTGGTGTCCTACCGGTGTGCTCTTTTAAATGATATCGGACACCGCGATACGGGGATATGAAACCTGGCATTGTGGTGTATCCAGCGTCACATAGGTAATATTTACCTACATTAATTAAACAGTATTTTAAAATCTCAAATATTGCCAAGTATTTAATATATTATTCATAATATGCACAAGTGAGAATGAATACCATCGTAAACTCGGAGACCGTAAGGCTGTGGCCTGGACAGGGCGTCTTGTAATACCCTATAATCATTTGCTGCCCCCTCCCAGCCAGCCAAGACATAAGTAAATAGTTTATTGGGGGTGCAGGCTGCTAAGATGTTTTGGGTGACCCCTTTTCGCCCTCTAAACCGTGCAACTAGGTCACTAGGTAACACCGCGTCGACGTGTGTGCCATCTATCAAACCAATGCAGTCCTATAAAAAATTATAAATTATACATAGTTAAATAAAAATAAGTTTACTTGGAAAATTGTTAAGTTGTATGTATTTAATTTACCTTAAAGTAAGGAAAATAATTTGAGTTGTTTGCAATCTCCTCGGGAACTTCTTTTGGGGCTTGCTTCATGTACCGATCACGTAATCCATTCATTGCTTGCAAGACTTTATTGAAATACCTGCTAACTGTTTCCCCTGATCTTATGAACTCAGTTCTTATTATTCTATTTTTAGTTTTGTGCCCAATAATACTCAGGAACATAGCAAGCTGTTCTTCAACTTGAACGTGTCTTGTATCTTTTAATAAACCGTTTGCTTTCATTACTTCAACAAGTTTAAAAAAGGCCCTCGGTCTCATTCTAATATAAGATTGGCAGCTATCTTGATAGCCCTCCAGTACACGTCTGAAGTGAGCCTCTCTACAATATATTTTTCTGATCCTTTCTTGCTTCGAACAATTTGATATTCTCTTGCGCTTAGCACGCATTCTCAAAATACATGTTACCAAAGTGACCACGGCGCAGACAGCTGTATTAGCACACATCCTCTTAAATTCTTCCTTACAGCTTAAGATGACTACTTATGTCTTGTCAAAATTAAGTAGATAATTGATACAAATATTTATTTCTTTTAAAGCAAGAAAGCTAATTGAAATAAAAATTATTTTAACTAATGTTGCATTCCCTCTCACACAATTATCAACAAGCAAGATAGACCCAAAACAAACAAACTATATGGTTAGATAACTAATAATTTACACACAGACAAAAAAAGGAAATAAAAGAAAAAAAAATCATCAATTTCAGTAACCCACAATTTTAACTAATTATTTGAGGACCTTATTTAGATTTATGAAACATTTGTGCAAGAAAGCGAAAATAGAAAAATAAATTCTATTCTATTTTCATGTCGTTTATCTATCTAACAACATAATTCTTGCACATTAACAACAAAATGCAGTACACAAACACCCGCATGAATTGTTTTACTGTAAGATTAT